AGAAATTGAAAGATTGCTGAAGGTACAAAAGACCATCAAAATTAAATATGAAATCCAGGCACTGTGGCTCACACCTGTAATCCTAGCAACTCAGGAGGCTGAGGCAGAAGAATCACAACACTCACAACTCAGCCTCAGCAATTTAGCAAAGCCTTAAGCAATTTAGTGAGACTGTCTCAAAATAAAAATAAAAAGGGTGGGTATGTGGCTCAGTAGTAAAGCACCTCTGGGTTTAAGCTCCAGTTCAAAAACATAAAAAACAAAAATGAAGATATCAGAAAGTAAAAAACAAAATTAACTAATGAATAGATTAAAGAGCTGTAAGACAAAGCTGAACAAAGAGTTAAAAAACTAGAAAACATATTTGAAGAATTTACCAAAACAGCCGTAGAGAAACAAACAAACAAACAAAACCGAAAATATATAAGACATGGATACCCTGAGGGTAGTATGAGAAGGTTTCACATTTGTCTACTTAAAAGTTCCTGAGGGAGATAACAGAGAAAATGGAGGACAGCAAATTTCAAGGACAAAATAACTAAATAAAGACAGATCCTTAGATTCAGGAAATCCAGTGAATTCAGAGTAAAATTATAGAACATCAAAGTCAAAGAGAAGCTCTTAAGAAGAGCCAGAGAGAAAAGGCCAATCGCCAACAAAGACAGAACTGATCTGTCAATAGTAGTAATGGAAGTTAGGGTGGAAAATGAAATAATATCCTCACGGACTAAAAATAAATAATTTTCAATAACAAAGGTTACATATTCAGAAAAAAAATATTGCTCAGGATTGCAACTCAAGATATTTTCAGACAAAAACTGAAGGCACAATGAGCACATTCTCATGTAAAAAAATTCAAAAAAGAAAGAAATAAAAGATATTTCCTGGAAGAAGAAAAATTAAAATAACATAAAACAACAATCCTATATGACAGCAGCATATACTTTGGAAATAAATAAAGTATCCTAAACTGCTTATATTATTTATTAAAAGGAAGTTCACAATAGCTAAACTGTGGAGACAAACTTGATGTCCTTCAGTATATGAATGGATAAAAAAAAATGGGGCATATATACACAATGGAATTCTACTCAGCATTAAAAAAAAAAAAAAAATCATGGTATTTGCAGGTAAATGGAAGGCGTTGGAGAAGATAATGCTAAGTGAAGTCAGCCAATCCCAAAAAAACAAGTGCCGAATGTTTTCTCTGATATAAGGAAGTTGACTCATAGTGGGGTAGGGAGGGAGAGCATGGGAGGAATAGATGAATTCTAGATAGGGCAGAGGGGTGGAAGGGAAAGGAAGGGGGCAGGGGATTAGCAAGGATGGTGGAATGTGATGGACATCATTATACAAAGTACATGTATTAAGACTTGAATTAGGTATCAACATACTTTAAAACAGAGATACAAAAATTGTGGTATATATGTGTATTAAGAATTGTAATGCAAAAAAATAAAAGTACATGTATAAAGGCAAAAAATAAATATATTAAAGTGATTTGAGAGAAAAGAAAGAAAGAAAATAGACCAGTAGTGTAGGGGAAGGAGATCAGGGGAGGGAGGAAGGAAGGCAAGGGGAAGTACTGGGAAAGAAATTGATCAGATTATGTTATGTGCCTGTATAAATATGTCTCAATGAATCCACTATTCTGTATAATAAATATGCAACAATAAAAATTTTTTCTTCAATTAAAACTGTATGAAAAAGCCTCCAGGGTGATCACTAAGAGAATTAAATACAATAAACGTCTTCCAAACTAGTTATGGCAAAGGTAGAATAAAATAAGCAAAAAAAAAAGCCTCAGTTAGTCCAAAAGCAGATTGGAAATGGGGGAATGGGAGGGACACATAGGAAGAGCTGATGAAATAAAGAATCCAAATTAGATGGCAGAGTGAAATTCAAATACTGTACATCAGTTCTCACAATTAATATAAGTGGAGTGAACTCTTCACTTAATAGACAAAGGTTATCAGAACAACAAGAAAATGTATCCTATTTATAAAAGATACTCCAATCAAAGTTATCGGGGCAAAGGGGAGGGAGGGATGGGTGGCAACCAGGGGGCAGGAAAGATAGTGGAATGAGATGGACATCATTACCCTAGGTATGTGTGTGACTGCACATATGGTGCACTGCTACATCGTGTACAACCAGAGAAATGAAAAGTTGTGCTGCAATTGTGTACAATGAATCAAAATGCATTCTGCTGTCCTATATACCAAACTAAAATAAATAAATAAATTTTAAAAAAGATATTCTCAAAACATAAGTATATGGAAATTTTAATAAAAGAATGGAGAAATATAAGGAGGTGCTGTTTAGTGGACTTAGAGTGTCAATTTTGTAAGATGAAAAGCTTGTGGAGATTGGCTGCCCAATAATGCGAATATACTTAACATAGCTGAACATTAAAAATGGTTAGAATGATCAATTTAAAGTTATGTGTACTTTATCACAGCACATTTCTTTTTTGGTAAAGTTTTTACTAGGCAAATGCTAACCAAGAGACAAAGAAACTATGTCATTTGTTTAATACTGTTATTTTAATAGAATAATTTACATTATATTTTAATAACTGAAAGCAAAATTATCCTAGTGACAAAGAAGACTACTTTTAAATTGATAAAAAATTTAATTCACCAGGAAATACGTTTTTAAACTTGTATATACCAATAACACACTTTCAAAATATATGAAGGAAAAAAAATTCAATGACTTTTTTATTGAAAAATTCACCATAATAGTACATAATATGTACATAAGGTACATATCTCAATAAACAATAGATCAAGCATATAAAAATCATTATGGATACAAAATTCATAAACCACATTAACTAAAAAGCTTAGCCTAGTGAACATTCTAAAACAAAACTTGAGAACATATATTCTTTTGAAGATCACTTGGAACATTTATCAAAATCGGCTACAATGTAAGCCATTAAGCCTCAACATATTTTTCAAAATAGATATCTTGAAAGCTGCATTCTTTCATCATAACCAATTAATAAATAAGTCACAATTTAAAAAAAAAAATTAAAGACCAATATGAAGCAGATATTGAACTGTACATTTTATTAGAGAGGCATAACTTTAAGGACACTCTAATTTAGGAAGCTTGATAAATGTCATCCCACTTCTCACTTGAATTTAGAACTAAATAAAGAGTCAGGAAGATGGAAATAAAAGTGGCATTTTATTAGCAAACTAGGCTTTTTGGAGAACATGGCTTTGGTGTGTATAAATGAGCTGGTTTATTGAATTGAGTTTATCTGAATTGAGTTTGCCCTTTAAAACTTCAGGTAATATCCCCAGGGACAGAGCCTCCCGCTCCAAGCTGCCACAGTCTGGCTGGGCACAATCAGGAGCCACTTGTCAAAAGAAACTAACTTTATTTTTAGAACCACACACGACAAACAAAACAGCCTCTCAGGAAAAACCCTCAGAGCCTCAACTGCCACCACCAGCTTTCCACAAGCCTCTCTCTCCCACACAAGCTTCTCTCCACCTCCCACAATCCTCCTGCTCTTGAGGCCGATTGGCTGGGTTACGTGGGCGGAGCCAAAAAAGTCCCCCAATGAGCAGCTCCGTGGTCTGAAAGGGCAGGGAAACAGTCCAATGAGCATCACCGCAGAGGAGCCAATCAGCTAGATGTTGCTGGGGCCGAGGAGCCAATCAGCTAGATGTTGCTGGGGCCGCTGTGAGCCAATCATCAGCCGGCAGCTGGAAGTTTGCTGGCAGCTGGAAGTTTGCTGGGGCCCCTTCGGCTGTGGCTCTCAACATCTCCCCCTCTCTGTTTAAACAACAAGCATGTGGCTTAGGGACCGTGTCTGTTAGGCAGTCCAATTCAACATATGGTCCTTACCCGTCATCAGATGAACTGACCTCTAGGCGTCAGCCTCCTGTCTTAGGTTGGTACCACTGCAATTGGATCATACCCGTCACTGACTACCGGTCCAGCATACAGCTATACTTGTGGATAGGCCTTTGCACCAGTGGGGGGGTGAGGTTCTTTGCCTCACCTCTGTTGGCCCCCAAATTTTAGACCATCACTAGTAGAGGAGGATGCAAAATGCAATGACATTAAGCCAATTGAGGGCTCCTTTGAAAAATTGTACCACCGGTGACACCATCAGCAAAAATACTCCAGCACTACCACAATTCGCTGTACCAACAGATAGTTCACAATGCATACAGGTGAGCTCACAATGTGTCCAGGCAAGTTCTGCAAGCAGTTCAGTGATGGCTATTGTAGAAGCTGTAGATTGGTTTTATCTTTGACTTCACCAGCACTGGGATGAAGATAGGAATTCTGGCAATAATGGCTAAAGAAAAAATTATGTAACATTCCAGAAGGCACTAAAAGAAAACAATTTTCTTAACAATTTACATTGTCTTCACCGGCACTGGGATGAAGATAGGAATTCTGGCAATAATGGCTAAAGAAAAAATTATGTAACATTACAGAAGGCACTAAAAGAAAACAATTTTCTTAACAATTTACATTATCTTTAAGAGAATTATTAAATATAATGAAAAGGGAAGGTGAAAGTAAACAAACAGATCTGTTAACCTTCTTTTTTGTTTACATATTAAAACAATCCTCAACAGTTGTTTACCCAATTTAAATTAAACCATATAAATCACGTGAAAAAAAAATTTTTGGATCCATTTTATTGGGATCGGCTGTGGCTCTCAACACCAAGCTAGCAATCTGGTGCCTGTTCCCTACAGGCAGACAGATCCCAGGGAGGTGATGTGCGCATGCCCAGTTGCTTTTCCCAAACCTACTAATCAGACAAGCCACTCCTTCCACAGGGAGTGAAGAGCAAGTGGGGTGGAAAGGAGAAAAGAGTTAGTCGGCTACCAAACCTGCCACATGGGAACAGGCAATGACACTGAGGATCTTGCCAACACCAAATACCAAGGCAAACTTGCAATCTTTGTGAGGACTGGGGTGGGGGCACAAGAGAAATGCAGTTCTGTCAGGGTCTTTACCTCCCTCCTGGAGTTGGGCTGTGATGTTGAGCTCACATTGCACTTTCGCTTTCATAACCAGGATGATCTGCTCCTCGATGGTAACGGTGCCATCAGAATCCAGCTGTGGAAATGAACAAAATGCAAACATTCCCATCACCTTTAAAAAAAAAAAAAGCCATGATACAAGCATTCATTATTCCATCTTCTAATATAATTGGAAATTAATTTTAACATCAAGCTACCTGAGCAGTTCTTTATCAGAGACAAAACTCAAAATCCATCAGTGTATAATAGTTAAAGATAATTTTACCTGATTGGCCTAAAGAAAAAAACATGTCATAGCAGAAAATATGGATTAAATATGATTAGATAATTATATAACAAAAAATATAACTAGAAAAAATAATAAATGAAAATTTCTTGGAAAGTCATGAAGACTTGATATTGTTTTTTTCACAATATGTCAGAAATTGAAATGGACTAAGGACCAAATTTAGCTCTACCAAAAAATTATAAGTGAAATATGAACAAAACATTCAACATCTTTAGGCTTTGGATTATTTATCTACTAAATGGGTTAGTCCAAAAGGCCTCCAGTCATCCTTTTGCCTTAATGTTGAGTCTCTTCCCATGAATTTAGTTCTAGAGAGAAGGCAAGGAAGAAGCCACAATGTTTTGATGACCTACTCTCAGATGTCACTTGTGGTTAGTTGCACCACATTCTATATGTTAAAAGTGAGTCATCATCTTAGGCCACAAAGCAACTCTTACCAAATACAGAAAAAAAAAAAAAGAGAGAGAGAGAGAGAGAGAGAGAGAGAAAGATAATACCTTGTATTCTCTCAGACTGTAATGGAATGAAATTAGAAATCAATGTTAAAAAAAAAACAGAAGCTACTCTAACATCTGGAGAATAAAGAATACACTATTTGAATGACCAATGGACCAATGGATACCAGAAGAAATCAGAAATGAAATTTTTTTACAAAATACTTAGAGGTAAAGGAGAATAGCAACACAACATATCAAAATCATGAAGGCAGTGCTAAGAGAAAAAAAGTTCATTGCATTGAGCTCATTCATTAAAAGAATAAATAGTTAACAAATAAATAACATAACATCTCAAAGCCCCAGAAAAAGAAGAACAAATCATTGCCAAATGCAAGTGAAGACAGGAAATATTTAAAATCAGAGCTGAAATCAATGAAATTGAAACAAAGGAAATAATCCAAAAACTCAACAAAACAAAAATTTGGTTCTTTGAAAAAATAAATAAAAGTGATACATCCTTAGCCATGCTAAAAAATAGAGTGAGAATTTGCAAATTAATAAATTATGGAAAAGAAAATCACAAAAGACACTACTGAAATATAAGCGATAATCAGAAACTATTTTGAAAATTTATACTCTAATAAAATAGAAAATCTTGAAGATTTTGGCAAATTTCTACAGACATATGACTTACCCAGATTGAATCCGGAGAACATGGAAAATTTAACCAGATCAAATTTAAGCAATGAAATTGAAGACATCATTAAAAGCCCACCAAGAAAGAAAAGCCCAGGACCAGACAGATTCTCAGCTGAGTTTTACCAGACCTTCAAAGAAGAACTAACACCTATCCTCCTCTATTCTATGAAATAGAAAAGGAGGGAACCCTTCCAAACTCATTCTATGAAGTTAGTATCACCCTAATACCAAAACCAGACAAAGGTACATCAAGGAAAGAAAATTTCAGACCAATGTCCCTAATGAACATAAATGCAAAAATTCCTAATAAAATACTGGCAAATTGCATACAAAAACATATTAAAAAGATAGTGTACCATGATCAAGTGGATTTCATCCCATGGATACAAAGTTGATTCAACAAATGGAAATCAATAAGTGTAATTCACCACATCAATAGACTTAAAGACAAGAATCATATGATTATCTCAATAGATGCAGAAAAAGCATTTGACAAATTCAGCATCCATTCATGTTCAAAACACTAGAAAAAACTAGGGATAGTAGGTACATATCTCAACATTGTAAAAGCTATACATGCTAAACCCAAGGCCAACATCATTCAAAATGAAGAAAAAATGGAAGCATTCCCTCCAAACAGGAACAAGACAGAGATGCCTTCTTTCACCATTTCTATTCAACATAGTCCTGGAAACTCTAGCCAGAAATTAGAGAAAGAAATTAAAGGGATAGGAATAGGAAAAGAAGAGCTCAAACTATCCCTATTTGCTGATGACATGATTCTATATTTAGAAGACTCCCAAAAAAATCCACTAGAAAACTTCTAGGACTCAGCAAAGTAGGAGGATATAAAGTTAACACCAATAAATCAATTGCATTGCTATACATCAGTGATGGGATCAGTTGAAAGAGAAGTTAGAAAAACTATTCCATTCATAATAGCCTCAAAAAATAAAATATTTAGTAATCAATCTAATAAAGAAGTGAAGGACCTCCACAATGAAAACTACAGGACCCTAAAGAAAGAAACTGAAGAAGACCTTAGAGGATGGAAAGTTATCTCAAGTTTTTAGATAAGCATAATTAATATTGTCAAAATGGCCATATTACTAAAAGTGCTATACAGATTTAATGCAATTTCTATTAAGTTCCCAATGACATTCTTTATAGAAATAGAAAAAGCAATCATGAAATTCATTTGGAAAAATAAGAGGCCCAGAATAACCAAAACAATTCTTAGCGAGAAAAGTGAAGCAGCAGGCATCACAATACCAGACCTTAAATTACACTACAGAGCTATAGTAACAAAAACAGCATAGTATTGGCTCAAAAACAGACATGAAGACCAATGAAATAGAATATAAGACACAGAGACAAGTTATCTCATACTAGACAAAGGTGCCCTAAACATACATTGGAGAAAGGATAGCCTCTTAACAAATGGTGCTGGGAAAAGTGGAAATCCTTATGTAACAAAATGAAATTAAACCTTTATCTCTCACCCTGCACAAAACTCAACTCAGAGTGGATCAAGGACCTAGGCATTAGACCAGAGACCCTTCACATAAAAGAAGGCAATGTAGGCCCAACTCTCCATCATGTCATTTTAGGAACCAAATTCCTCAATAAGACTCCTAAAGCACAAGAGGTAAAATCAAGAATCAATAAATGGGATGAATCAAATTAAAAGCTTCTTCACAGCAAAGAAAACAATCAAGATCTTGAAGAGAGAGCCTACCTGATGGTAGAAAATCTTTACCACATGTACCTCAGATAGAGCATTAATCTCCAGGATGTATGAAGAACTCCAAAGACTTAATACCAAAGAAATAAATAGTCCAATCAATAAATGGGCCAAGAAACTAAACAAACAGTCCACAGAAGAAGATATATAATCAATCAACAAATACATGCAAAAATGTTCGACATCTCTAGCAATTACAGAAATGCAAATCAAAACTACTCTAAGATTTTACCTCACTCCAGTCGGAATGGCAATTATGAAGAATACAAGGAACAATAAATGTTGGTGAGGATGTGTGGAAAAGGTAAACTCACTGTCGGTGGGACTGCAAATTGGTGCAGCCACTCTGGAAAGCAGTACGGAGAGTCCACAGAAAACATGGAATGAAACTACCATTTGACCCAGCTATTCCACTCCTAGGTTTATACCCAAAGGACTTAAAATCAGCATACTACAGTGATGCAGCCACATCAATGTTTTCAGCAGTGCAGTTTACAATAGCTAAACTATAGAACCAACCTAGGTACCCTTCAACAGACAAATGGGTAAAGAAAATGTGTTATATATACACATGGAATATTACTCAGCCATAAAGAAGAATGAAATTATGGCATTTGCCAGTAAATGTATGCAAGTGGAAACTATCATGCTAAGTGTTCTCTCTGATATGTGGATGCCGACTCACAATAGGCTGGGAGGTTGGGGGCCGGGTAAAGGGGAGGGAGTTTCACCAAATTGGACAGAGTGGAATGGGGGGAAGAGAGAGAGGATGGGAATGGCAAAGACAGTAGAATGAATCAGACATAAAATTCCTATGTTCATGTATAAATAAATGACCAGTCTAACTCCATATCATGCACACCACAAAAATGGGAAGTTATACTCCATGTATGTGTGATATGTCAAAATATGTTCTATTGTCATGTATAACTAAAAAGAACAAGTTTTCTTTTTAAAAAAAAAAGTGAGTCATCAATGCTCATTTGAGAGGAGGGAATTTATCTCTCCCTCTTAATGGGACACATCCAAAATTTCATAAGTATATTTTTAAACAACCACAATTTTATGCTGGTAGTCTTTGCTCTAGATTTATTAATAATAATAGGATCCAAAGCTTTACATCTCTGTCTACTGGGGAATTCAAGATTCTTGAATCAAAGCAGATTATAAAGCCAATAGATTTACCTAAATAACAACTCCCAATAATATAATAATTTACAAATCCCAAAGCTTTCATTTCAGCTGCAAATATACTCATTCTCTAGAACTATTCTTTACGTGAGGAAACAAGCCTTTTGACATTGTGCAATAAGACATTATAAGCTGAACAGCAGAAATACATGCTCATGTCACTGGCCATACAAAGTATACATAGAGATTATTGATAATCATGATTTTAAATGATACATAAAGTGATATACTGGTAAAATGAAGAATACAGAAAGAAAACCTAAGGTAAAAATTATTTTGAGCCTGAACAAATTATTATTTCTGAACATTATTAGTTTGTTATTTTCTATTATAATTATAGGACAAAGTGAAGCTCAGTCAACAGATATCTAGTGTTAGGATTATCTAGTTCTCAATTATATTCATAGCACAATATCTACATTTATGTTAACTGTTTTCAGAAAGGATGAGAATAAGCAAAAATTAATTTGGGGAGTTAAAAAACACACCAGAGTCTTTGGCTGTCAGGGTAATACAACATTTTCTAAGTCACTACACTAAAGTGAATCAGAAAATCTCAGATTTCAAAAAGAGAGAATGAAATGACAACAGATGAGTCATCTGAATGGGCATGACAGGGAAAAAAAAGACTCCTTACCATTCATTCTTGAGGAGTAGTCAGGCGCCATTCAAGCATTCAAGTTGGGTTTTTGTTTTGTTTTTCTGCCTTTTATCCA